CATTATGACTATGATCATTTTTGCTCCGTTTAATTAAATCAAAATAAACGCGGACATTTCAGCTGTTTAACTTGATACAGTGTTAGGTTTTAGCTTCTTGCATTCTTACCTAGCATAGAGGGCCCCCTATACTTTTTGCGTGAAGCGTGAAGGGCTTATTTTACTTAGCCGTGAAACGTGATCGGGCCCCCTATACTTTTTGCGTGAAGCGTGAAGGGCTTATTTTACTTAGCCGTGAAACGTGATCGATGATTTACTTAATCCATGACTCGTGAAAAGGCAAAATATTTTTACGTGAAAGCATATTGTGAAGAGGTATAGGGGGCCCTCAGCATAGAGAAAATAGTGTGATTTTATTTATAATTACAGCAATCAAGTCAGTCTCCATCGATGTAAAGCATTATGTTTGAGTTGTTTAATACTTACCCCGACTACTTTCGGCTTTGGTGTCCTGACGGGTACAGGAATTATTTTTATCCATTGATATATTTCTTTATTATAATACCACAGAATAGTTCCAGAAGAGTTCCACGTTAGCGGAGGAAAGCTCCGACTAAAATAACGATGACCCTTCTCATATTATATATATATATATATATATATATATATATATATATATATATATATATATATATATATATATATATATATATATATTCACGGCTTGTTTACTTCGAATTTACGAAACGAAAGTGAAAGCGCTTATTAAGCGAAATTCAATCTCGTTCCCCGAGCCTACGATGCTTGCGAAGGAAACGAAGGCTATGGGATAATCCCACTGATTAGTGGATAATTCAAAGAAGAAATGAATAATTATATGATTTAGAGCCATTAGAGGTTTTGCGGTATTAACAAGCGAATGTATTGGTTAAATACGACATGTTTGTTCGATCGTCGAATAAATTACCACAAAATCATATACATTCATTGAATAAATTTTGAACTAATTAGGAAGATGTATACTTTTGTAAAATGGACCTGATATTTGTAAAATGGGCTTGATATTTGTAAAATCGACTTGATGTTGGAAAATATTTGACTGTTCGTAATTTTGTCCGCTTTGGGAAAGCATATTTATGGTTGTGTCACATTTTTTAAAAACATTTTTATATGTATTATTATATAAATTACAATAGAATACAATACAAATTTATTTAGAACCTTCCCTCAGGGCTTTTCAGGTCTAATTACAAGTTTATACGTTACAATTTACAAGTAATGAGTTTATAAATTACAATATTTAGTATAGATATAAAATTGAAAGAATAGCATGCGTGTCTAAATACAGAATTTAAAAAGTTATGCATTAGTTGTAAAAATTAGGCATTAAGGATCCAGGTCTTTAATGACTGTTTAAAAGTGTTCAATGAAGTACTCTTTCTTACATTGTTCGGTAAACTGTTCCACAATTTAATAGCTCTGTATCCAAATGATCGCTGGGCAAAGCTTGTTCTACATTTTGGGATATCAAGATTGTGGCTATTACGAGTGCTACGATTGTGTACGTCAGAACGTCTCTTTACAATTTTTTTTAAATACAACGGTACACTACCGTTAATAATTTTATGATTAAAAAGGTTAAAATGAACCAGTAGATGTTCAATATTTTTACTCTCTATTGCGAAATGTTGTTTAAATTAAGAATATACAGAATCTTTGTATATAGCACCCAGTAAGAGGTCATGTCTGAGCTGAAACGAATGTATTATCTAAAACTTCCTGTTATTTTAATTATATCCAAACCAATTTTGCTAATAACATATAGTACAATAATGTAAGATAAGAAGTAAAATAATGGTTAGACTTTCCTAATATAAACGATGTTCACGCGCTTTGTTTGAAAAATGCTTTATGTAATATCAGATCAAATCATCCATCAGTAATGTTGGTATAGGGTTATATAATCAGCATGAGATAATGCAACTGCATGCATCGGGAGGGTTATAGTATACTTGCCCAAAGCGGACAAGCCTACGAACAGTGGAATATAAAGTCCATGTGTCAAACATCATCAAATCGGTTTTCTCAAATACCAAGTCCATTTTACCATAGCCTATCGAAGGGAAGATGGTTGCGAAACTCATTAGAATAACAATATAACTCATTATCTATGTTAGTCAACGTTTATTCATAAATCTGGTCCTTCACCGTCACATGTGTATTGTATTTTTGCCAAATCCACCAATAGCAATTTCCAATTTCCCTATTGTTCGAGTCACGGATAGGTAACTTTCCTAAAACATTGCTATTGGTTAGTTGGGCAAAAATACAATGCACACGTGACGGTGAAGGACCAGATTTATGAATAAACGTTGACTATAACATAGATAATGAATAGATAATGAGTTATATTGTTATTCTAATGAGTTTCACAGTAATCTTCCCTTCGATAAGCTATGATTTTACTTTTAGTGGGTCCATTTACCACATAATTAGCAAGAACGACTTCGTATTTTTTTTGGTAAAATGGACTTGATATTTGTAAAATGGACTTGATATATTTGTAAAATGGACTTGATATTTGTAAAATGAGCTTGAAAGTTATCAAATCGACTTGATGGTGGAGAAATGGACTTGATATTTTAATGTTCGTAATTTTGTCCGCTTTGCATGGGCAAGCATATTTATGGCCCAGTCACATTTTTCAAAAACACTTTTATATGGATTATTATATAAATTACGATTAAAATGCTTAAAATGAACCAGTACATGTTCAATAGTTTTACTCTGATCTTTTGGGAGATGTTGTTTAATTAAGAATATACAGAATCTTTGTCGGGTATATAGCAACAGTAAGAGGTCATGTCGGAGCTGAAACGAGCATATTATCGAGAACTTCCTGTTATTCTAACGAGTTTCACAGTCATCTTTCCTCCGATAGGCTATGATTTTACTAATATAATTGGGTCCATTTTACTAATATCAACAATGTTGGAAAAAATATCTGTAGACTTTTCGAAATATACACTCAAATTTGAAAACATATGATGAAAATGTGAGCATTTTTCAATTAATTTAAAGCAACTATTTACCTTAAATCCCCCCCCTCTCCCCCCTCTCCCCGGCCCCCCAGGTTCAGGTAAAGTGGATTTGCAACATATGTCACCTAAATACCAACATTGTAGAAGGGGGGAGGGGGACAAAGTTTGAAAATTTAAGAAGTCTACCAATTTTTTTCCAGGATTGAAGTCCATTTCATAATTTATTCAATGATGGTGTAGTAATTTCTTCAACATCGCACAAAAACATGGCGGAACGTAATACGAAATGATTTGGTTCCACTATTCAGCAAAGGAATCAAGGAAGATTCATAATAAATTGTCTTCAACGAATCAACGGGGCATGTAATAGCTACGGTAATGAGTCCGTTTTTGAGATAAATACCCACGCTAACCCCTCGTTTTATGAGTAAAAGTTAAGTCCGCTAAGCTCACATAGCTTTAAAGCTCTATTCTTGTGACCCTTTTATCCATTTTAGCGTTGGTTTTTCGAAATTAACAAGTGAATTTATTAGTTAAAACGTCATCACTGTTCGATCGTTGAATAAATTAGTACATAATCATGCATTCATTGAATAAATTATGACCTAATTAACAAGATCGATTTCGTATTTTTTGTAAAATGGACTTGATATTCGTAAACTGAACTTGATATTTGTAAAATCGACTTGATGTTGAAGAAGTGGAGTTGATATTTTACTGTTCGTAATTTTGTCCGCTTTGGGCAAACATACGAATGGAAATTCCGCGACATGTTTTTGTAACAATTGAAATTCCGTGACAGTTCTCTGCTGTTATACTTTTGTCAAAATGCAAAATACATTTATTTTAAAATTTAAATGTAATTTTATAACAACGGCCAGTGTAAACTGCGTAGTTCGTATTCGAGGTATACCTAGTATAGTGATTTGTCATATTTGGCGATGTAAAATAGTTAGCATCTACCGTTAGCTCATTGACCACTTCATTAGCTTCTATATTCTATAATACAGTGTCAGACGGGTTTAAATATTATTTGTATGTGCATGCCTTTTGGCATTGTTATGAAATTACATTTTTCTAACATAAATGTATTTCGAAATTTGATAAACAACAACTATGGAACTCAGAGAAATGTAACGGAATTTAAATTGTCACTGAAAAAATGTCGCGAAGTTTGCATTAGCAGCCATTAGCGCGTTTTACGTTCACCGCAAAGTAGATTAGTTTGGTACGGGTTTTGAACAAGAACAATGCCAACTCAATTATTATAATTATTTGCAACAATATATGAAAGTGCATGGCATGTATTGCAAACTGTAATATGCGTCTGCCTTTTTCGTTGATTTATTTGACAATTTGGTCATGCAAAAAACTTTACATAATAATAATTAGCTAACAGCATAAATATTATGCTGTTAATATAATTAAAACAGCTTGGAAAAATGAACCAGTATACATAGTTACCAGTATAATTATATAGGCTATATAATGGAATGTTGTTTGAAAGATAAGAGTGGCTGCATGGTAATTATATAATTTTCTATATAATACGTCAGATGCCAGGTTCAATCAAGTCCGAGCTGAAGCGAGGTGCTCTCCACAACATCCTGTTGTCGTAGAGTAACATTCAAAACTGTTTTTAGATCGGAGCTGAAACGATCCATTGTGTCAATTGTTTTAATTGTTCACGTTATCAATACAGAAGCAGTTATAATTCCGCAAAGTACCTGCCTCCCCCGGTATGTATCTGCGAAAAAGTCACTCTACTCACAATAAAAATCACTGAAAACTCAGAATATAAAAAATATATTGATAAGCTCTCGCTGTTGTTTTCCCGCTACATACATAATTAGTATTCCATGTGCTCGCGTGTAGCACACGCGAGATGTCCACGTAATTCCGTTCAGTTCCGACACACTCCCCTGTATACACTCTGTAAAAGGTGTATACACTAACACAACACAAAATGTTAAATTTAGAATAATTGTCAATATCACTGTACGTTACTTTTTCTTTCTCCTACTCATCATCCGCTGCTTCGATCTGTTCAATACGGAGTTTTACTGCAGTCGCCGCGTCTCGCCGAGGGCGTGGCTCTAATTCTACCGCATCTGGGTTCAGGATTGGCACTTCCGGTAAGACATCACAGCTCAGTTCTAACGGAAAAAGCAGCTGCACGGCTCTTTCCAAGGTTCCGTTTGGAGTCTTCAGACGTACTCCCCGTATCACGTTATCCTTTCCAGGATAGGTTTCTTCTATGATTCCTAGAGGCCACGTACCTCGATTCTTGCTCTCGGTCTGTATCAACACAACGTCTCCAGGCTTAGGTTGGAACTTGCTTCTCTTGTGGGTCATGTTGTGTCTTTCCCGTAAGGCTACCAGGTATTCTTTTCTCCAACGCCGCCACAGCTTGTTCTTACATTCGATTAGATATTTTGCTCGTTTTCTCAGTTCTCGTTCTTCAATTCGCCATGGTTCTTCAATTCGCCATGGTTCTTCCATAGGGAGTTGGCACGTGCGTTGATGGAGGAACGTAGCTGGGGTGAGGGTTGGTAACTGGATGTCGTCCTCAACATACGACATTGGTCGGCGGTTGATTTGAATTTCAACGTCGAGCAGAACCTCACTTAGTTCGTCCCAAGTGAGATGACCTCCCCCGATCACCTTGTACATAGCTGACTTGACTACCCCGATGAGGCGCTCGAATTGGCCGCCCCACCAGGGTGCACGACTCAGGTTAAATTTCCATTTAATATCGTACTCTTCCGCGAAGCCTCGTAGACTCTCGTCTTTCCGTAATTGTTCCAGCCATTTGCTGGCTTTGACGAACGCGCCGCCATTATCGGAATAAACTACGCGTGGTCGTCCTCGCCGAGCGATAAATCGTTTCAAAGACACGATGAAGGTACTGGTTTCCAGGTTCCGCAACAGTTCTAAGTGAACAGCTCTCGACAAGCTGCAAGCAAATATCACGAGGTAAGACTTCCCTTCTGCTTTGGAGGATTTCCGGAACTTCATTGGCCCAGCAAAATCGACTCCGATCACCTCAAACGCTGCACCAGGTGTGGTTCTGTCCTCTGGTAGTTGTCCAGCCACTGGAGTTGTAAAGGAAGTAAGGCGAAATCGTTTGCATCCCCAGCATCGACTGCGTATCATCCAGAAAGTTTCTCGTACCGCCGCCATCGTAAGTCCGACACCGCCATGTAGCGTTTCGCAGTGAACACGTTGCACCAGCTTTTCCGTAAATACCGCGTTCCGTGGTAAATAGATAGGGTGGATTCCTTGCATTCTTCCGATACATACTATAATTCCTCGATCGTCCGTCTCAAGACCAAGTTGCGCGCTGGTTTCCTTATAATGTTGTTCGACCGTGTCTCGGAGTTGAACGCGTCTGATCCACCAATACTTTGCCGTCTCAATCTCTTCCGTATCCAAAGGTCCTGATCTCTTTTCTTTAGCACGGCAGTTGTGAATAAATCGGTTTATCCACGCAGACACTCTCAGTGCTCGACGCAGCGTGTTTCTTTCGAGAAGTTTGTCTAACTCGTCTGTTGTTGTTTCGGTGGATTTGGCTATGTAAACGAGGTCTCGACTAATCTTGTTTTCAGCTGCCGATTCGGGTGATGATTTTGTGACCGGATTATCTGGCCATTTTTCTGGATCGCTGAGCCATTTTGGGCCCGACTGCCACAGTGATGAAGATATGGGACCGCCCCTGCTAGCAATGTCCGCGGGGTTGTCCTTTGTTGGAACATGTCGCCACTGAATTGATGGGTGAGCCTGGATCTTCGCAACACGATTGGCGACGAATTGCTTGTAGGCCCCATTACCAACTATCCAGTGCAGAGCCACTGTGCTGTCAAGCCATGCGAACATCAACGGTTGCGGTTCTTTTGGTAGGGCGTCACGAACATTCACTAGAAGATTTGTCGCCATGTGAGCCCCGACCAGTTCCAGACGTGGAACCGACAAATTTCTCTTTGCTAGCAGACTCTTTGCTGCCACCAACTGCTGTGTAGTTCCCGACTGCTGTCTAACCACTGCGTAAACTGCTGTCCCTACACCTTTTGTAGACGCATCACCGAAGGAA